TATATGATAAAGGCACAAAAAAATTTATACCAAAACAGAGATGCAGAACTAGGAAACAGGATTGGTTCAACAGAAATTGCGAGAGGGCCAGAGACCAAAAGACACAAAAATGGAATCAATACAGGAAGAGGCCAAACCCCCAAACATACCAACGATACAAAGATGCAAGAAACAACTACACAGCAGTGAGGAGAGAGGCAGAAAGAAATTTTGAAAAAGGGATTGCAGACAAATGTAAAATAGAACCAGGTCTATTCTATAAATTCATAAACAACAAATTGCAGGTAAAGGATAATATTCAGAGGTTGAAAATGGGAAATAGATTCACGGAAAATGAAAAGGAAATGTGTGAAACACTAAACGAAAAGTTCCAAAGTGTGTTTGTACAAAATGAAATTTTTAGGGAACCAGACACAATAAGAATTCCAGAGAACAACATAGAGCACACACAGAGGTGACTAGAGACGAAGTGGAAAAAATGCTCAAGGAGCTAAGTAAGAACAAGGCAGTTGGTCCAGATGGAGTTTCACCATGGGTTCTGAGAGACTGTGCACCTGAGCTCAGCATTCCACTTCGACCGATTTTTCAGGCATCCCTGTGTACAGGAGTTGCAGCTGATGTGTGGAAAAAGGCTAACATAGTTCCAATCTACAAAAGTGGAAGCAGGGAAGACCCCCTTAATTATAGACCTGTATCATTGACAAGTGTAATAGTCAAAATATTGGAAAAAATAATTAAAACTAAATGGATAGAACACCTGGAGGAAAACTATATAATATCAGACAGACAGTATGGTTTTCGATCTGGAAGATCCTGTGTAACGAACTTACTCAGTTTTTATGATCGAGCCACAGAGATTTTACAGGAAAGAGATGGTTGGGTTGACTGCATCTATCTGGACCTAAAAAAGGCTTTCGACAGAGTTCCCCCATAAGAGGTTGTTCTGGAAACATGAACATATTGGAGGGGTGACAGGTAAGCTACTAACATGGATGAAAAATTTCCTAACTGACAGAAAAATGAGGGCCGTAATCAGAGGCAAGGTGTCGGATTGGAGGAATGTCATGAGTGGAGTACCACAGGGTTAAGTTCTTGCACCGGTAATGTTCATTGTCTACATAAACGATCTACTAGTGGGATTACAGAATTACATGAACATGTTTGCTGATGATGCTAAGATAATAGGGAAGATAAGAAACCTAGATGATTGTCATGCTCTTCAAGAAGACCTGGACAAAATAAGTATATGGAGCAATACTTGGCAAATGGAATTTAATGTGAATAAATGCCATGTTATGGAATGTGGAATTGGAGAACATAGACCCCACACAACTTATAAATTATGTGAGAAATCTTTAAAGAATTCTGACAAAGAAAGAGATCTAGGGGTGGTTCTAGATAGAAAACTGTCACCCGAGGACCACATTAAGAACATTGTGTGAGGAACCTATGCTACACTTTCTAATCTCAGAATTGCTTTTAAATACATGGATGGCGAAATACTAAAGAAATTGTTCACGACTTTTATTAGACCAAAGCTGGAATATGCAGCAGTTGTGTGGTACCCATATCTTAAGAAGCACATCAACAAACTGGAAAAGGTGCAAAGACATGCTACTAAGTGGCTCCCACAACTGAAGGGAAAGAGCTACGAGGAGAGGTTAAAGGCATTAAATATGCAAAAACTAGAAGATAGAAGAAAAAGAGGCGATATGATCACTACGTTCAAAATAGTAACAGGAATCGATAAAATTGATAGGGAAGAATTCCTGAGACCCGGAACTTCAAGAACAAGAGGTCATAGATTTAAACTAACGAAACAAAGCTGCTGGAGAAATATACGAAAATTCACTTTTGTAAACAGTGGTAGACGGTTGGAACAAGTTAAGTGAGAAGGTGGTGGAGGCCAAAACCGTCAGTAATTTCAAAGCATTATATGACAAAGAGTGCAGGGAAGATGGGACACCACGAGCGTAGCTCTCATCCTGTAACTACACTTAGGTAATTACACTTAGGTAATTATATAAAAGACCAATCCTGGAGTTTGCAGCCCCCAGCATGGAGCCTGTACCCTGTCAAGCACAAAATGAAGCTTGAAAAAGTGCAGAGGTACGCCACTAGGCTAGTCCCAGAGCGAAGAGGCATGAATTTCGAGAACAGGCTGAGAAATGCAAAACACAACACAAAGACAGAAGAGGAAGGGGAGACATGAACACTGCCCACAAAATTCTAAAAGGAATTGAGAGGGCAGAGAAAGAGAAACTGTTTAACACGGGTGGTAGGCAAAGACGGGGACACAGGTGGAAACTTAAGTACCCAAATGAGCTACAGGGACGTTAGAAGAACCTTTGCAGTGTCAGAGCAGTTAACAGATGGAATGCATTAGGCAGTGATGTGGTGGAGGCAGACTCCAGACACAGGTCCAAATGTAGACATGATAAAGCCCAGTAGACTCAGGAGTCTGTACACCAGTTGAACGACAGTTGAGAGGCGGGACCAAAGAGCCAGAGCTCAACCCCCCACAAGCACAACTAGGGGAGTACAACTAGGTGAGGACAAAAACTGGCAGGGACATACAAGGAAAAGGAAAGAACGCAGTTCCAGAACTGAACACCGGGGCAGCTCAAAATCAGGGAACTGAACATGTACAGAGGGCATCCCAGCACCAACATCAGTATAGCCAATACGCACCTATCAAGATACACCACAATGCATAGTATAGAGGTAGGAATACAGAAATAGGCAAGGAAAAGACCCGAAAAACAGTCCAAGCACCAAGAGCTAGGGCCAAGAGAGTACGAAGAATATGACGAACGAAGAAGATCAAAGTAGCAGCCGGTAACATAAGGTACACGACCAACCACATATACAGAAAGACTCCAATGTATAGAAGGGTGCAGCCAGGCACCGAAAGACAGGCAAGGAAGGAACAGCCAGGCACCGAAAGACAGGCAAGGAAGGCGCGTCCAGAGAGTATAGACCGAGGCAAGGAAAGAGTGAACAGACAGCAAGGACTGAGGCAAAGAAGGAGTGACCAGATAACGAGAAAAAATTCAGGCGCCTAAAGACTAAACAAAAGGCACCAAATACTGGGGCTGCGTCCCACAAAGTAACTAAGAACAAGATACACCGACCAAGGAAGGCAATGGTAAGACACGCAAAGTGGCCAAAACAAAGCACACAACAACATCCCACCAAAAATCGAGAACCAGCGCCTGGCCAACAGAGTCGCCAGACTGTACAATCTCACCTGCAGAGCGGAGACATGACAAGGTCGAGCCGAGTAACATACCAGGAGCATCGCTAGCGGAATATGTCCAGAGTTGTGTGCCCAGCAGGAGATGAGGTGCAGTACAGAGGTGGAGGTGGTGCCACTCTGAGCCACCCCACACCCGTAAGCAGAGAAAAGAACGAGGTGATTTTCCCACATAAAATCCTACACCCCCAGCATCTAGGGAGCTATGACTGGAGAGAGAAGATGAGCAAGAAAGGCGTAGAAAAGCGCGAGAAAGGATGAGGAATGCCAACACGTGTACACCGCCCAGAAACAAAACAATCACCCCGGCCCCAGCGCCTTAGGTACGAACCGCATTACCCGTCTTCCGGGTGGTGTGATTTGCACACCAGTCCTATGTACACATATTATACACACACCAGCAAGATGTACGTAACGAATACGAGGAACGTCGAAACAGGAAGGAGAGACTATGTGAATACAAAATAAGGCAAAACAGAATCGAAAGAAGACAAGGAGGACGGAAGGGGACCAATGAGTCCGAGAAAGGACCGGAGGGAAACCTCACCGGAAGTCAACAGACGTTCCAATAATATTGGAAGTATCGAAGAGGATCACGAACCAATGAGAACTGTGACAAGCAAGCACACATGCACGGAGGTACATATGGGCCCCAAAGACAGGAGATACGCACCTAGGGCCTTCTGAACCTCCACAGGGAAAATTCGAGAGGTCGAAAACCTCCTGAAGGACGCAGTCGCGGAACCCATGGAAACAAACCTGGGAAGTAGACGCCCACATATCAAATTTGTACATGGAAGGGGAGTACAAAACCCCGAACCTTGAAACAACTGACCCCACCCTGACAGGGTGCTTGACAGCTGGGTGGACAGTGCTTCGGATTCGTAGTCCTGAGGTTCCGGGTTCGATCCCTGGTGGAGGCGGAGACAAATGGGCAAAAAGTTTCTTTCACCCTGATGCTCCTACTCACCTAGCAGTAAATAGGTACCTGGGAGTTAGACAGCTGCTAAGGGCTGCTTCCTGGAGGTGTGTAACCAAAAGGAGGCCTGGTCAATGACCGGGCCACGGGGACGCTAAGCCCCAAAATCATTTCAAGATAACCTCGAGAAGATAACCCCGAAGGCACCAAAACCCAAGCAAGGTCAAAAGGGGCTCAAGTGCCCCAGGGTGCCTACCCCTTTGGGAGGGGGTGTCGGTACGAACAAGCTGCGTGCGGTGTGATAACGTGTTGCTTGTTAGCTTGTTTTTCTTTGGGGCAGTTTCTAGCCTCTGTACAGTCATAGGTTGCAATATTTCTACCAGGAGGAGTCTGTTTTGAAGTGCCTACCTTTCTGGGTGCTAAACTCCGGTCGATGGCAGACAGGAATACTTTTATACATAAGAGTTTCATCGGCCATTACTCCCTTTTGCCTCTCTGAGGGGACCATGTTCTGGCTAGTGGTCCCCGGTAGACATGACAACTCCATAATCCCAGTACTAATATTAGTTAATATCAGTCCAATAGCTCCATGGAGCCAATGGGGTTCCCCCACAGAAACAATGCCTTGAGAAAACAATCCCGAACCAAAGGGACCAGAGTAAACCTAACAGACGGAAGAAAAGAAAGAACCCGGTCAAAAACCAGGCAGGCTCAGGCCGCGCCTGAGCATGGTGTTGCATCATATAAACAGAGGGAACAGCACAAGGGTTAAAGAAGATCACAATGAGTGTGTGCATAAATTTAAATAAGGAAGCCTCTACAAACCTTCAAATTGTCCTCCATAGATTGATTCACCACCGGTACCATTACCGGCAGAGAAATCACCAGCTTGGATCATGAAATCTTTAATCACACGGTGAAACTTCACTCCTCGATAATGCAAAGGTTTACAAGTCGTCTTGCCCTCACCCATCTCTCCTGTAATTGATTTTAAACAATTAGCAACAAACGTTGATATTAACATCTTTGTCAAAGCAATGATAGAATTCAGTACAGGACTTTATTTTAAGGGACCTGGTGATTGTGTAATGAAACTTCCTCAATCACACTCAAATTTTTAGTGAATATCATCTTCATGGTAAATGCTCCAACTTTTCCTAATGGACCAACATCATACCATGAACAGAAACAAAAATAAAACAGAAAAAATTAACATCCCACAATTTTAAATTAGGTTTAAAAATATTAAAATGTCATAAATTTTTATTTTATTCATTATGGTCTCAGAATGGCATATAACGTTCCTTTTCCTCAATTTAAAATTGACTTTGAAAGTACAGTACAAACTTGATTCAACGTATCCCAACTCGCCACATCTCCAACTAGGTCACACACTTTTCAGGGATTTACTCACCCAGTTTGGCATACTCTGGTTCCCCCAAGCGGGGGATGTGCGAATTTGCTTACGATGTTGGGATAGAGTTCACAGATTGATGGAAAACTATCCCATTCTATCACAGGTTATAATTAATAATTCCTTCATATGACAAGTTGGATCACACAAGTGGACAAGTGGACCACACAAGTGGTCCATAAGTAATCCACAAGCTTACGATGTTGGGACAGAATTCACAGACTGGTGGAAAACTTTCCCATTCTATCACAGGCTACAATTAATAATTCCTTCATATGACAAGTTGGATTACACAAGTGGACTACAAAACAAGTGAATATAAGAACCAAACACCAGCCAGAATGGTCCACACAAGAGAACGACTGTGTTTCCATGATTTTTGTTCACTGATTTGTTGCACATGTATCTTTGTAGATTAATTTAAAGACTGAAGCGTAAATAGCTAGCTAATGTGTTGAACTCTTCATATAAACATTTTCTGTGATGAAACAAGATGAGTGAGGGTGGACAGATAAGGGAATACAGTACTGTACTGTAAACCTCACTTTATGGTGAGGTCACTTTACGGTGAAGTTTCACTCACTTTCGTCTGTGTCGTCACAGTTCAGTGACCCATGACTTAGAAAGTCTTAGATTAATAAATCATTTCTACAACCGGTGTTTTAATAGCTCTTTATTATCCTAATTAAACTAAACTAAATAAAATAAAAAATATACTGTAATATGATAGACATCTGCTATTTGAGAAATGATTCATGTTATTGGCACAACAACTCCAGTGCAAGAAGACAGGTCTAATCTGTGTGTACACACGGATTTCGTCACCACAGTTCAGTGACCTACGGCTTTGAAATAATAAAATTAATAAACCAGTTCTAAAATACTGTAAGTATTTTTTATAGCTCTTATTATCGTAATAATGTTGCTAAACTAAATATATAACCCAAAAATATATAATTTGATGTAAATCCAATATTTGAGAGAAATTTATATTACTGGATCTGGCTTAAACACCAGCCTACTGTAGGGTGTATAGACCTAGTCTGATAGAATTCATACAGTAGATACCCAGTGCCATTAGATTTGTCTGCAAGTGACGTGTTTGTTCGCCAGTGGAAGAATAATCATGGCATTTACCATTTCTTGACTACAGCTGTACAGTGACACCTCGGCTTACGAATGTCCCTCTTTACTAACTTTTCAGGTTACGAGCCCAATTTCTTTGTGAAATTCGAATCGGGTTACGAACTTTGCCTCGGGAAACAGTTTGCTGAAACGCGTATGGCCGACCTAATGCATGGTGGCACGGAGATCGCGCCTCAGTTTACCAGTGCCTCCTGCCTAGTGACAATCGCGTCTGAATTCTTTGTAAAGAATTCCAGTATTTTTTCGGGTTTTTTGGTATTTAAACATAAATGTTCAAAGTTTTGAACATCATAAAAGTTTTGAACAGTGAGGTACCTCACTGGCCCGACCCCGCTGAAAGAGCAGCAGCTGCAAAAAAACTCTCAGGTTAGGACACCTAGCAAGCAGCGCCTGAAGGCTGGCACATGCAGCATGAGCTCACAGCACTGCTGTTCAGCTTGTGACCACAGCACCGCCTAATAATGTCAAAATATATATGTAACTGGTATTATTTAGCCATGATAGTATTACAGAACAGCCTGAGTGTGATAGACTGTGTACAATGTTCAAATATCAGTGAATCAATACTGTTAAAGATGTTCACAGTGCAAGCCACAGCACCACAGCATTATTTCGTCCATCGAGGAATCCTCAAACGACTTCTCATGTTCCTAAACAAAATAAACTTGTGGTAAATTATTCATTTACAGGATTTAGTGACCAGGATTCTGATAATAGCAGGATTGTGGTGATAATTAGCATTATGCGTAGTATTGGAGGAGGAGAAATTTTGGTGAGGGAGGGAGGGAATCGAGGTAGCTTAGTGGTTCACTATGGTGAACACAAATGTAGATACCCTGTACTTATATATAACGTGTGCATATAGTGTAATAACAGCAACAGGAGTATGTTGGGAGGAGCCATTTTGGTGAGGGAGATGGTGTCATACTCATAGCGTCGTCTGCTGTGTGACTTGTCATGCAGTGTATGGTGGCCACTGCGCTGTTTGGACACAATACCAGCTTACTTGTATAGTTATAGTGAATGAACAATGTAGATACTTGTACATAATGTGTGTAAATAGTGTAATAAAAGCAATAACAGTATTGTGGGAGGAGGAATGTTGGCAAGTAAGGTATTGGAGAAGTGAGGGAGGGCTGGCTGGGTGTGGCAGCTCACTCTTGTTTTTTGGACTCATCATACCAACTTAGTGGTTCATTATGGTGAATACATATGTAGATGGGTATATACAATGTGTGTATATAGTGTAATAACAGCAAAAACAGTGTTTGATCATAGAATAGAATATATGTGTCATATATAAGAGCCCCATAATTTTGAGCATAGTGATGTTCCACACATTGAACTATATAAATTCCACAAATTACACACTTTTGAATAATATTACAGCAAAAGGGGCCAACTGACCCCCGAGCGCTCCATTGCTAAGCGTTCATAATTTGCTCAACTTCCCATCTCTATCACAGCTAAAGTATGTCACATACAATATTTTTTTTTTTAGTTTCCCATGATCAGAGACTGCATTTTAATAATACAAGAGGAGAAAATAATTTTTTGGAAACAATTTATTTTTGACACACCACGGGTGTGTTGTATTTTAATACAGAGCAGTTTGGTGGTTAAAAAATGAGTTTTCTCTGTCAGATACCACAGTTAATGGGTTGTACTATGTGAGCACAGTGCAGGGGTTGAAAGGCAAAAGCTTAAAAAAATCAAGGTTAATCAATAATATGAATAAAACAAATTTCCAGAATCTGTTTTCTAGAAGATTAAAATCTGGGCGTCAATAAAATTAAAAATAAAATTAAAGATTTATACTTACCAGTACAGAGGGCTCTAAAATTTTCACACGTTTTTGGACAAACTTCATTGAAAAGCTCGAAGATAACACGACCAGAAGGAATCCCATCTATTTCAACATCAAAAAAACAGCGAATGCGGTGCCCCATCCTGATCCTGTAACAAATATTTTACATTTAACAGTTTTATTGCATAATATCTTAAAATTAATTAATTACTAGCAATTTAAAAAAGAAAAACAACAGGCATCAATTCAAATGCTTGTAAACAATAAAGTGTTCCAAGATCAAAATGCTATATGTAATTTATATTATTTAAATTTTGTAGATCAAATGGCCTTTACATTTTTAAGCTGGTTAAAACAAGAAATTATTATTTATTTTGTAGTCTTACAAATAACACAGTAATGAAATAAAAAAAACGAGCATTGAATGTAATGAACCGACAGTTTCTATGTGAGCCTCAGAGGATCCCTGAAGCTACCATCATTGATTTTCTTTTTGCCTATCGGGGATCATGAGCCAGACCCTGGCCCCCTCAGAGAGGTGACGGGAGTGATGGCCTATGATCACTCTACATTTAAAGGTTGTCCACTTTGCCCTCACCAGGGAAGCACCCAGAAAGATAGGCAAATCAAAACAAACTACTGCCACGTTTAACAACAATACCGAAGCCCACAAAAGTCAAAAGAACCCCCCCCAAGAAAAAAAATACAACCAAAATGTAGTGAAATTAAACCTTTCATTAGTTAGCGCCACCTCTCCCCTCATTGGGGGGAAGGAGGGAGCCGACTTGGAAAGGCCAGGATGACCGGCTTCAGTTCTCTAGTGAGAAGCACACTGTTGACCTTGTAGGAGGGTGGGTGTCAAGGAGCCGTCGGGGCTCACCCAGAAACTGCCGTTTTATTACATTCAATGCTGGTTTTCTGTGGGGAACCCTGTTGACTCCCTGAAGCTAAGTACTCATTGAGAAGGAAAAAAATATGGGAAACTTACTAGGGAGGCAGGAGCACCGTAGGTATCAACTTGAAGTTGAGACAGAATGCTGCGACAGATGTCCCAGGGCTACACAAGGTCTCAGAGGACCAGGAACATTAACAAGATACCTGGCAGCTACCCTGTTAGACCTCCAAAACCCATGCCCAAATATCAGCCCAAATCATATTACCAAAAACAGCTGACAAGGCAGTGTACTTATGAACATTATGAGCATGAGGGTAGACCACAGGCTGGCTAGTTTTAGTAACACTACAGACAACCTGGGAAACATGACCTCTGGAACAGGTAACCAGAGAAACTGAATCAACCCATAACGAGTCCACCAAAAAAGATCAGGTGGCTCGAAGGTAGCAGTGTAAAACCGCAACTTGACAAAGCACATGATGCACCACCAGCCAAACCAACCATGCATCCACAACCAAGGGATCCCTCCGGAAGCCCTGTTTGATACTTGCTTGATGGGGTTCTGGGAGATCTTTTACAACCCAAGATCAGCCCGAGGCCAGGCTTGACTTATGAGAACTTGGTCCAACAGGCTGTTCCTAGGAGCGGCCCCACAGGCCCACATATCCACCACAGCCTGGTTGGTCTGGCACTTTTTTGACAACTATCTACAGTAGTTTTCTACTGAAGATGTCCACAGTTGTTCCAGCAATATTTCTCATACTCACTGGGAGGATGTTGAGCAACCTTGAACCTCTGATGTTTATACAGTGTTCTCCGATTGTGCTTATGGCGCCCCTGCTCTTCTTCGCTACTCCGTTGATTCATTCTTCAACCAGAAAAGAAGGAGCAGGCTGCAACCGAACAAAATGACTCCCAGGACCAATTGAACAAAAATCCTGGCACTGGAGGAAAGCAAGAAGCTCATCCACCCAACAACCAGAGATCAAGCAAGCAAAAATATGGCCTTCCAGAAACAATCCTGGACCATAGGGGCCACCGTAAAATGAGCAGAAGAAAAGAAAAGAAAGAACTCGGTTCAAAGACCAGGCAGACTCTGGCAGCACGTAAGCAGGCCAGAGGTGAAATAAAGCACAAGAAAGCTTGCAAAATGAGGCCTAAGTTACATCCACTATGACTGCAAGCAGCAGCAGTTCCACCAATGCCGCACAATAAGAAGCGACAGTATTAGGCATAAGATACCTACTGAGGGAAAAAGCCAGAACCCGGTCTGAAACAGCAGGACAACGATGCAGGGAGAGACAATTATGAAATTCAAAATTATGAGAAAAATTCAACTTCAGATACACAAAGTTAAAATCGGCAATAAAAATGAGGGAAAGTGCCTTGGCCTATACATAGACAAGAGACTCAACTTCAGCACCCACATATAACATACAGCCAAAAGAAGTCTCAAAAACTGTCTGTATAATCTCTAAAATCAGATATTATACTCTGCTCTCCTCTCATTATACTATTCGCTAATCTATCCCCTATCTTACATATGGTATCTATACATGGGGTTCAACTACTGCAAATTACCTTAAGCCCATCATCACCCAGCAAAAATCTGCTATCAGAACAATAACAAAATGTTTCCAAACAACACACAGCCCCTCTGTTTAAATCCCTAAACATGCTAAACATACACTCACTCCACACACATCCTCTTGTGCTATTTACATATACAGAACCTTGTTCCTAATTGCAAATCCTGATCTGAAACTCTTCCTTGACAGATGTATATGATCACCACACCAGAGCTAATATCTCTTTGATATCCCCAGTCAAACTAAATCTCTGCAAACACTATGCAAATAAAGAGTCCCAGTCTATGGAACTCATTCCCTAACGAATTAAAAACCTGTCCAACCTATACTTTATTCAAAAGTAAAACACTGTATCTTGTTCTACCCCCAATATTTGTGCCGAAGACATTCAACTCCTCCATTGTAATCAGTGCTATGAACATAATTATGTTAAATGCAAATTTTGCTACAATGTACTGTACCTATAAATAATCTTCAAATTATGCTACATTGTACCTATAAATAACCTTCAAACTTTACTACAATGTACCTTTTATTTATTTTATTTATTTATTTATATACAAGATACATTGGGTTTGTGAAGATACATAGCATGGTACTGTTATTTACATTCTTGTAAAGCCACTAGTACGCGCAACGTTTCGGGCAGGTCCTTAATCTAACAGATACAGTAATTTTAAGTAGGTAAATTCTAGCAGAATTTATAAAATGATAACAGGTACATTGCAAGAAAAAAATGAGATATGAGTGATTAGTAGGTATATTAAAGCACACTGGTAGCTCTCGACTGATTGCATTGACAGATCCGATTGATAATTTAAACAAAGATTAAGAGGCACCATACAGCAAATTGATAGCACATATAAGAAGACAGGAGTGATCACAATGGTAAAGTTGTTTGGGTTAGGTACATAGATTTGGAGATTGGGTAGCATTAGATTCAGTGCAATTTTAAAGCAACACGGTAGAAACTATGAGGATGAAATTAGGTACTTTTTAGTTTTGTTTTTGAATGAGGCAAAAGTTGGACTGCTTTTCAGTTCATTAGGGAGCGAGTTCCATATACTAGGTCCCTTTATTTGCATAGTGTGTTTACACAGATTAAGTTTGACTCTGGGGATATCAAAGAGATATTTATTTCTGGTGTGGTGATAATGGGTCCCATTACATCTGTCCAGGGAAAGTTTCAGAGCAGGATTAGCATTTAAGAACAGGGTTTTGTAAATGTAATTGACACAAAAAAATGTGTGGAGTGAGTTTATGTTTAGCATGTTTAGGGATTTAAACAAGGGGGGCCGAGTGATGTCTGAAAGCAGAATTTGTTATTATTCTCATAGCAGATTTTTGCTGGGTGATGATGGACTTGAGGGGGTTTGCAGTGGTTGAACCTCATTCACAGATACTGTACCATAATTAAGATAGGGATAGATTAGTGCATAATATAGTGAGATGAGTGCAGAGTTAGGTACATAATATCTGATTTTGGAGTGTATACCAACTGTTTTAGAGACTTTCTTAGTTATGTGTTGTATGTGGGTACTGAAGTTGAGTCTCTTGTCTAGGAATAGGCCAAGAAACTTTCCATCATTTTTATTACTGATGTTAACATTGTCTATCTGAAGCTGAATTGCATTTGCTCCCAAATTAGATGTAGTAGGTCTTTTCTGTTTAGTGTTAGTTTGTTGGTTGACATCCATAAGTGGACTTTTTTTTTTAGTTCATTATTAACAACATTATTTAGTGTGTTGGTAGAACAGCCTATTGACATAGCTCGGGTGCATAGGGGAATTGCGTAAAACCTTGGTTTGCGTCTCGGAGAGACTGCAGGATCTGTTGGTAAATCAGGATGATTTCCCGGTTGCAATTCTTTCACCATGTCATAGCTCAGTCGATTAAGGCAGCGTTTGGGATCCTCTCGGACGTAGGTTAGAACCCTCGTCACGGCCCTTGTGGATGTGTTCATTAGTGTGTGTGGGTTGGGGTTTGAGTAGATGAGGGTATCATCATCAGCAAACAATATAGGTTTAAGAATGTTAGAGACATTAGGCAGATCATTGATGTACAGTATATAAGAAATAGGAGAGGTCCCAAGATGCTGCCCTGTGGTAGTCCAATGGTTATTGGTAGAGTGGGAGAGGTTATGTCATCGATGGCTACACATTGGTATCTATCATTAAGATAGGATTGGATATAGTCCAGGGCAAGGCCTCAGATTCCATAATGATGGAGTTTACGTTAGAGGTAGTTGTGATTAACAGTATCAAAGGCCTTTCTCAGGTCAATGAAGAATCTAATCGGAAACTCATTTTTGTCAAGGGCTGAGTAAATTATATCAAGGAGACTAAAAATTGCATCGTTGGTACTCTTTTGGGAGCAGGCGCCAAACTGACGGGCTGAGTATGTCGAATTTTACTAGGTAGGAGTAGAGCTGTTTGTAGATAATTTTTTCAAATATTTTTTATAGTATTGGCCTATGATTATTTATGTCTGCCGGATTGCCTCCTTTATGGATTGGCGTTACTCGTGCTTTTTTAAGGACATCAGTGAAGCTGTGACACTCTAGAGATTTGTTGAACAGCAGAGCTATGGGTGACGCAAGGGCATGGGAGGCGCTCTTATATACAATGGATGGGATTTCACTGATGTTCCCAGCTTTGGTTTTTAGTGAGTGTATAATGGACACAACATCTGTCGGGCTGACTGGTGAAAGGAGAAGATAGTTTGGATAGCTGCTTGAGAAATATGTGTTGATATGTGTCCGAGTCTGTGGGATTTTTCTGGCAAGGTTAGCACCAACTTATGAAAAGAAGCTATTAAATTCATTTGCCATTTCTAAATCAGTTGATGGTGTATAGCCATCCTTAGTGTGTTTTATCTGGTTGTGTGAGTGTTGTTTAGTTCCTAGGATATTAGAGATGATTTTCCATGTGCTTTTCATGTTGCCTTTGCTTCTTTGAATCTATTCTCATTATATGAAAGTTTTGCTTTTCTTATGATACTGGTAAGCACTGATGAGTACCTTTTAACTACTTTTTTTGTAACTAGGCCAATCCTAAGTTTCTTTTCATATTCATGTTTGTCAGTTACTTGTTTGGTAAGGAGGGGGCAATGAGTGTTGTAGAGGCTTAGAGTTTTGGAGAGAAAGAGGTTAGCTAATGAATTTATATCCTGTGTATTATTGAATTCAGATTCCCAGTTAATATTGTGAAATGCATTTGAGAGGTTGCCTATACTGTAGCTGATTCACTGTGTAGCTTGAATGTATGTTTCTTGCTTTCTGGTGGTGTTATGTCCATGTTTGCCATGAGGAAGGTAGGATAGTGGTCAGTTGTTCTGTCATAGATTACCCCAGATGTAAGGGGAGCTGTTATGTTAGTCCATAAGTGACCCAAGGTAATAGCAGATGTTTGAGTGACTCGGGTGGGCTTGGTGATTGTGGGATTAGCATACAGTTCATACTGTTACGGAAAGTCAACTTGAGGGTTATTTTGAAGACCCAAGTCAATATGGAAGTTACCTCCTAGAATGATGTGATTTTTGTTGAGATTGTTATTTATGATAAGATTCCCTAGGTTATCTGAGAATGAAGCTATATTGGTATTGGGAAATCTATAGATGGCACCGATAGTCAAGGAGGATTTAAGGGATTTACATACCTACTTATAATTAAGTTAGATTAAGGTCTTGCCTGAAATGCTATGCGTGTTAGTGGCTTTGCAAAAAATGTTATATATTCTCACAAACCCAGTGTACTTTCTTGTATATATAAATAAATAAATAAATAAATAAAAAACATGACTCGTGATAAGGTTCGTCTTCCTAGTCATGTAAAGAATTCGCGATAAGAGAATCCATCTACTTAGCAACACTTCCTAATGCTAATATTGTTTCAGTAATGCACTTCATCATAAGATTCATGTTAATGCAAAATACTCCTCTAATCTTTCTTGGTGATGATTATATATTTAGCCAGCTTAGCCGAGCAAACCACTCACACTCCACACAGACTGCAGCTTGAGAATACTTGTTCCTCAGCACCAGCTGGAGGTGATACTCCAGCGCTTGCTAGCAGGATAGAAATTTTTCCTGAGCGCTAACTGGAGATGTCCAGAGGGACTAATCGCCTATAACCGTTTCGGATACCGTCGGTTCAGTACACTTAAAACACGTTCGTTCACAAACAAGTTTGTATACACGAACCCTTATTTATTTATTTATTTATTTATTTATTTTATTTATTTATTTATTTATATATATACAAGAAGGTACATTGGGGGTTAACAGAGAACATAGAGTTTAAGTTGAAATTACATTAATAAAAAAAAATAATAATAAAATGTTTATTCAGGTAAGGTACATACATACAAGAGATTTTACATAATTTGATCGATTAATAGATGGAGCTAGTACATACAATGCCTAAAGCCACTATTACGCAAAGCGTTTCGGGCAGGAAAAACATTAATGACTAAAACTTAATACTAATCGAGTATAAAGAATAAAATGTGTTGAGAACAAACAAAATAAAGATAAAAAATGGGGAAACATGGCTGAAAACGCAGCACAAATACAATTAGGTCGACAAACAGCGTTGTTTAAAAAAAAAAAAGAGACATGGATTGACAATAGGGGGGTAAGGTAGGTTACAGGGAATTTATTAGGTAGTGCTTCGTTTTTATCTTAAACTGGTTGAGGGAGGTACAGTCTTTAACATGGTTGGGAAGGTCATTCCACATTCTGGGTCCCTTGATTTGTAGAGCATTTCTAGTTTGATTAAGTCGTACTCTTGGAATATCAAAACTGAATTTATTTCTGGTATGGTGCTCATGGGATCTGTTACAACCTTCAATGAAGCTTTTGAGGTCAGGATTGGCATTACAGTTCAGCGTTTTATATATGTATAACACACATGAGAGAATGTACAGTGACTTAATATCTAACATATTCAGAGATTTAAGTGATATACCACTAGGAAGGTGGTATATGACTTTTCAGTGTGCAGGGTAAGAAAGGTGGTGATGCAATGATGCACTCTCCTTCCATGCATGAAGCCATATATCTGGGGGGTATAGCATGGTTCTTATTCTATGGAGGAGACGGTTTAGGACCATTCTCGAATGTTTTGCAAATGCAGCTAGTAAGGGAAATTGGGCGGAAAGCATTAACATTAGTGGAATTAGCAGGCGTTAGGTACAGAGACTGTGGATAGTTACCTATAAGACATCTGAACATTAGTACTAGAAGATGGAATAACCCTTTCCACTACCGCCCACAAGATGGGTATGGGGTGCATGATAAATGAACTAAACTAACATATGTTGGAGAGTATGTCCTAGCTCTCGTTCACATAGTTTACAATTGGAATGTTCATCATTGGGGATAAAGACATAGAAGATAAGATAAGAGGAGAGGAGAGAGAGAGGGGGGGGAGTTATGGGGGAGAGGGAGAGAGAGCATGAGAGGCGTGCGGGAGCTGAGGCGCGCTAATCAGCAAAGAACCGCGTTTACAAGTGGATTGTTTGGCTTAGGTTTCTCTATCTGCGCCTGGCACTCGACACGGCAAGTCTTCGGGTGAGTGGGTCATGTTCGGTCTCTTGACAGATAGCAAAAAAATGTTGTCGGTGATCGTTCTTTTTTTGTTCATTAATATATATTTTTTCTTTTAGTGATTACACCAATTTGGGTCGAATGTCATATAACAAACAAACGGCCGATTCTAAAAAAAGGCAGGAAGTACCACCCAAAGACTTGTCTTAGCCCCCAAACATATGCTCACTCCACACATTCTCTTGTGATATTGTATTTACATGTACAAAACCTTGTTACTAAATTCCTGATCTGAAACTTCCTAGATAGGTGAAACAACCCATGAGCATCACACCACAAATATCTCTGATATCCCCCAGAGTTAGTTAGTTAGTTTAGTTCATTTATTATGCACCCTATACCCATCCTGTGGGCGGTAGTGGAAAGGGTTACAGAGCACATAATGTGCTCAGGGACTGAAGCTCACGATTCATTTAGCTAAGCAAGTTATTCTTGATGAGCTAGTTACAAAATTAAATGCACATCGTAACATCAACAATGGGCTCGAGACAGACCACAAGTACAGTTTCTAAATTAAGCAACTGACATATGTGGAGAACTAGTGTCACAATTTGTTTATTCTGCTCACTGTCCCCCCCCCCCCTATCCAGTTGGCAGCAGTGGATAGTAATAATAATAATACTGTACTAATAATATTTATTAGTACCGAACCCAACCAATGCCAATACTAAAAATAACTCTCTGAGTGTCTGAGCCTAACCTAACTTAATCTAACCTTGTCCAAGGTGCTGTCTCTGCCTTACCATTTACCCAATGTTCTGTCATTTATATAAGTTCCTAAGTAATAATGAACAGCGTCCCACCAGGGGTTCCAAATTATGTTACGGCCCTCTCGGGTCGCAACTGGGTTCTTACTCTGATGTTGTTAGAGGAAGGGTATCCGGCTCCAAGCCAGTAGTGGCTTTCAAGGGATGTGATCCGTAACGCAAGTAAAATAAAAGGGGAAGGGAAAGAAAGGCAAAAACTTAATATTATAATTAACACCTTCACCAATAAATATATATAAGAAGATTACACGGGGGGGGTATAAACACTAGTATCTACACGGTTGTCTTCTTCTGAAGACTCTGGATCTTCACGGTGCCGAGCTCTTGGTGCTCTCGTGGCCTCACGACGAATCCTTCGAGAATGAGTCTACCCCGGCCACAGGCCAGCCAAAACACAGTTCCACTGGGGGCACCGCTGTGGAGGCCGTCAACCACAAGTCCAGCAGATGGCTGGCAGGTTCCGAATCAGCAACGCTGGTGAGGCCACTCCACGAGCGATACTAGGGTAGCGCCCTAGTCAGGAGCCTCGTGTGATACCACAGATCACTCTCCTTTCCGCAATACCCCAGTGGTTAAGCGTCTCCACCAGTCAGTCCCGGGTATGACAATCCTTCAACTGCCGCTTCACAGGCAGGGTAACACCACAGTGTTCATCCGGGAGGCGACTCACAGCTGCTGCAGCAAAACACTTGGTGTCGAGACAGCTGCCTTGGGTAGACTGACTCAACTTCCCTTACAGCAGTCCCAGGTCGACTCTGTAAGCAGACACGTCATCAATAACAGGGACACACTAAAGCACCTCACTTACAGGCTCAGACACAAACGCCCGACGTATCCACTCCATAGATGGCGTTGTCGTCTGAGCACCACCTCACCAGAGGTCAGCAGCGGCTGTGTTGTGAGCTGAACAGGACTGGAAACTGGCCCTCGTGGCCAGTACACCTCGTCCTCACCAGGTGTCGTCGTCCATTTGGAGGGGGTTTCGGGAGCTGACCCACAGATGGCGTGGTCGTCACTGCTCCAGGCCCGGACGCTGGATTCGGGTTCGTAACATCTGTCAAGTCTCCATGCACCTATGCAAGCATCTACCTCAGTATCATTGTAAAATTTTACTCTTAAATCTAATCTTACCCTATTCTTTTTAAATTTTAAATTGTACTGATTTATGTCATTTATTGAAATTAATTATTGATCTCATTTTGTTTTCTTAATTAAGTTCATACTAATTATAGGTTAAAAACTAAGCTAACTACCCTCATCTACTCTAACCCCAACCCACATACACTAAATAATGTTGTTAATAATGAACTAAAAAAAGTCCACTTATGGATGTCAACCAACAAACTAACACTTAACATACAAAAGACCTACTCCATCTTATTTGGAAGCAAATCTACAAATGCAATTCAGCTTCAGATAGATAATGTAAACATTAGCAATAAAAATGATGGGAAGTTTCTTGGCCTATTCCTAGACAAGAGACTCAACTTTAGCACCCACATACATAACTAAGAAAGTCTCTAAAATAGTTGGGATACTCTCCAAAATCAGATATCATGTACCTAACTCTGCTCTCATCTCTCTATATTATGCACTAATCTATCCCTATCTTAATTATGGTGTCTGTGCATGGGGTTCAACCACTGCAAGTCCATCATCACTCGGCAAAAATCTGCTATCAGAATAATAATAAATTCTGCTTTCAGACAACACTCAGCCCCCTTGTTTAACTCACTAAACATGCTAAACATAATCTCGCTACACAAATTCTCTTGTGTCAATTACATTTACAAAACCCTGTTCTTAAATGCAAATCCTGCTCTGAAACTCTCCCTGGACAGATGCAATAGGACCCATTATCACCACACCAGAAGTAAATATCTCATTGATATCCCCAGAGTCAAACTTAATCTGTGTAAACACTCTATGCAAATTGCAGTCTCCGTGGTGTAGTGGTAAGACACTTGCCTGGCGTTCCGCGAGCGCTATGTCATGGGTTCGTATCCTGGCCGGGGAGGATTTACTGGGCGCAATTCCTTAACTGTAGCCTCTGTTTAACGCAACAGTAAAATGTGTACTTGGATGAAAAAACGATTCTTCGCGGCAGGGGATCGTATTCCAGGGACCATACGATTAAGGACTTGCCCGAAACGCTACGTGTACTAGTGGCTGTACAAGAATGTAACAATTGTATATATCTCCAAAAAAAAAAAAAAAAAAAAAAAAAAGGGACCTAGTCTATGGAACTCGCTCCCTAATGAATTGAAAAGCTGTCCAACTTTTGTGACATTCAAAAACAAAACTAAAAAGTACCTAATTTCATCTTCATAGTTTTTTACCTTTTGCTTTAAAATTACAGTGTATCTATTGCTACCCAATCCTTATGTACCCAATCTGAACATCTTTACCATTGTGATCATTGCTGTCTTCTTATATGGGCTATCAATCTGCTGTATGGTGTCTATTAATCTTGTTTAAATTACCAATCAAGTTGTCAATGTAATCAATCAGAGCTTTAATATACCATTGTGCTTTACTTACTAATCTCTCTCATCTCATTTTTTTCTTGCAATGTATCTGTTATCATTTTATTAATTCTGCTAGAATTTACCTCCTTAAAATTATGTTAGATTAAGGACCTGCTCGAAACGCTGCGAGTACTAGTGGTTTTATAAGATTGTAAATACTATGCTATGTATTCTCATAAACCCAATGTACCTTCTTGTATATAAATAAATAAATTTAAAAGAAGGAGCAATGGGTTGTGAGAGTGATATTTTTACATTCTTGCAAAGCCACTTAACATTGAAATTGAAATAAGTTTATTTATTTATTTATTTATTTATTTATTTATGCATATACAAGAATGTACATAAGGAATGTGAGGATACAAATATGGTAATTACAGTCTTGTAAAGCCACTAGCACGCGCAGCATTTCGGGCAGGTCCTTAATCTAAGAAAATTTTAAGGAGGTAAATACTTGCAAAATTTATAGACAAAAAAATGATAACAGTTACATGAAATGAAAAAAAAAGAAGATGAGAGAAAATTGTAGGTACAGTATATTAAAGCACATAGGTAGCTAAGATTGATTGCAATGACAGCTTGAATGGTAGTTGACAAAAATTGGTAGGCACAATACAGCAGAAACAATATAAGATTGATTGCAATGACAGCTTGAATGGTAGTTGACAAAAATTGGTAGTCACAATACAGCATATGGCTAGCACATAAAAGAAGACAGCAATGAACACAATGATAAGGTTGTTTGATATTACATAAAAATTAGGAGATTGGGTAACACTAGGTACAGAGCAAATTTAAAGCTCAGTGTAGGAAACTAAGAAGATGAAGTTAGGTACTTTTTGGTTTTGCTTTTAAATAAGGCAAAAGTTTTACAGTTTTTCAATTCACTAGGGAGTGAGTTCCATAGACTAGGTCCCTTAATTTGCATAGAGTGTTTACACAGATTAAGTTTGACCCTGGGGATATCAAGGAGATATTTATTTCTGGTGTGGTGATAATGGGTCCTATTACATCTGTCCAGGGAGAGTTTCAGAGCATGGTTTGCATTTAAGAACAGGGTTTTGTAAATGTAGTTGACACAAGAGAATGTGTGGAGGGAGTTAATATTTAGCAAGTTTAGGGATTTAAACAAGGGAGCTGAGTGTTGTCTGAAAGCAGAGTTAGTTATTATTCTGATAGCAGATTTTTGCTGTGTGATGATGGGCTTGCAGTGGTTGAACCCCATGCACAGATACCATAATTAAGATAGGGGTAGATTAGTGCATAATATAGTGAGAGGAGAGCAGAGTTAGGAACATAATATCTGATTTTGGAGAGTATACCAACTGTCTTAGAGACTTTCTTAGTTATGTGTTGAATGTGGGTGCTGAAGTTGAGTCTCTTGTCTAGGAATAGGCCAAGAAACTTGCCATCATTTTTATTACTGATGTTAATGTTGTCTATCTGTAGCTGAATTGCATTTGATGATTTGCTTCCAAATAAGATGTAGTAAGTCTTTTCGATGTTTAATGTTAGTTTGTTCGTTGACATCCATAAGTGGACTTTTTTTAATTCATTATTCACAACATTATTTAGTGTATGTGGGTTGAGGTTTGAATAGATAAGGGTAGTATCGTCAGCAAACAATATAGGTTTGAGAATATTAGAGACATTAGGCAGATCGTTTATA